CTTTTTTGTTGTTATATACCTGGATGACTGAGAAAACAAACTTTGTGCATCAGTCAGTTGTACTCAGTAAACACCTAAAGTCTTCTAGCTCCTTTTTAGTTCTTAGTCAAACTGAAAGTGAGGACCTCCTTTGTTTTTGTCCATCTGGTTTTGTGTTCAGGAGCACAAATGTGTTCCTGTTGTTTCCTGATGTTTTATAGGTGGTATATATTTTTAACTCATCTATTGTTGGCTCAGTGTAATAAATGTGAATATAGGTGAAGCTGCTGGTGAAAATCCAGCTTCCTACTTGAACAGAGGAAGTTTCAGAAAAAATTCTGACATTGGTGGAATTCTTCACTGGTCAAATCTGGGCAGAGCCACGTCCACCCACACTTCCTGTAAACGTGCTCAGATGTGACTCAAAGCCTTTGTTCAGTAAAATGACACGCTATGTACTTTAAGGTTTACATGCTAAAACTTAATGCATGTTTGTTTTTTCTAACAAAATGGAAATGTCATGTGTTGACCTTTGTTCTACCTTCTTTTAAGGCTAAAGGCCAGAGAGATGACATGGTGCTGTCCAGCAGAACCCGACGCCGGCCACTGTCATCGGGGGAGATAGAAGGTGTGTTGTGGCAGGGCCCACGGACTATTTTTCTTCAAAAGAATTTACAAGGATTTGGCTTCACTTTGCGCCACTTCATCGTCTACCCACCAGAGTCGTCTCGCCACAGCCTAAAGGTACCAGACTGCTTCTTTCAAAATCTGTTGCATTCATTTGGAAAAAATAAAAACCATATGCCTTAAGATTTTGTTGGCAACATAAACATTAGTGTGGTTATTCACAGAGAAATCAGTTTTCTTGACATAAAAATATAGAATTTCTGCTTTTTTAATGTCTTTTGGACATGTTCAGCTCACAGACTTTGAAATTTAAAGTAGAATGCTAACTTTACTCTTCTGAAAATAAATAAGGAAATGAGCTTTTACAGCTCTGAGCCCCCTCATTTGATTTATTAAAGTGCTAAGGATAATAAAAGTGCTTCATATATCATTTGAAAACTCACTTCAGATTTTATCACTGTTGCTTTAACCATTGGCATATATGGGGAAAAATCTGCCACACATTTATTTTTGTTTGTGCTTTTATTGATTTATTTTGATATAGTTCATAAACACAGTTTTTTAATATAAAAAACAGAATTAAAAAATATTTAAAAAAAATTGAACTTGATATTTTCATTTCAGGCTGAGATATCTTTAAGGGATAGACTAGTTTATGGTGTAAATAAACCATTAAAAATTGTATTTTTAAGCAGTTAAACATTGTGGTCAATTTTTCTGCTAAGACACATTAACTGTCATAAAGTTAAAGGGACTTCCAGGGTTGAGACATTATGTATAATTGTTTTATTTGGCTTCTCTTTGACTGATGATGACGGCAACGACAACTACCTGGAGTCATATCTGGTATGTTGTTGACAACTTTGTCACCAGAATTTCTTTAGCCTTCATTATTCTGCTTTAACACCAGCATGCTTTGTTGTTATGGACACACTTCACCCAAGCCGTCGTAGCTATACTGTTTTACAGAATACTGTCTTGCTCCACTCCTAAAGCTGCAGAGTATTTAAGAATATGCCGATAAAGTTTCTCAGTCATCCAGGACATGGTTGTAGTGAACTAGGCCTCCGACCTCAACCTGTCTCTGAAGACCTTCAGGGGACAGGAACTGTTATTTCATTGATTTGAATCCAGAAATACAAATTATCTCATCAAGAGAATATTTAGTTGTATCCTGAATTAATCAATTGAAAGAACACTCTTCTTTTTATATTATCATTACTATTTTAGAATATCTTGATAATCAAAAGTGTGTTTAGTTCATACCATTTCTAAATGTTGAAGTGAACCACTCATTTAAATCAACTGTGAAACAGTATTAATGATTTTTTAATCCTCATTAGACCTTGATCATACAGTTAAATGCCTATTTACAAAGTAAGTGTGCATTTAGTCTTCTGTCTGAATGAGGAGTAGTGATGTCGGTTGAAAGTCAGAGACAAACAGAAACGAGTTATTAGAACGAAGTGTCTTGTTTTTAAAACTCGCAGACAGTAAATAACTTCAACTGGCACCTGCTCTGTCTCACCTCATCATATTTTCCTGTCTGTACTAACCCTTTTTAAAAACATTCCTGCTGTCTCTTGACTTCTAGTGACCCTCTGACATCACTAGAACCACCCCCCTGCTGGTTGGTTCAACCAATCAGGAAGTACCACGTAACAGGAAGTGAACACCCCTTTAAAAAGGCAACACTTCTTGGAACTAGTCAGTCCTGGAACTCAGTCGGAGTCTTAAGTTTTAGTCTTCACGAGTCTTAGTCTCTTCTAAGTCTTGCTGGAACTTTCGGTCAGAGATGAGACTCACTTAAGCAGCTGATGGATGGGACCATGTGCCAAGTGGTCCCTCCATTTCAGCGGAGTCACAGCTCGCATCGCTGTGCACTCAACCCGAGCAGTAAATGCTCCACTTCTAAGGAAGCTTATTCGGTGGAACCGAGTACTTCGGCATTTATTCTGATGACCCAGCTATTTTAACCGGAGACGCTGGAAAGGGAGCGTACTAATGGGCTTCTGTTCCGGAGTGGAGGTATCCCCCATCTCAGGTAACAAGTCGCTGCACGTCCTGAAGTGTACCAGAAAGCTGAGCTGGATGTCGGAGGAAGGGTGCAATGTTCTGGTTCCACACATAACTTTCATCCATCTAAAACTTTCTCCTTAAATCTGTTTCTCCTCTCTTAACCTTGCTATTCACCAGTAATCAAACGAGATGCCTTCAGAGGTGAATCAGTCTCAATCAGTAATGTTCTGTTGTCTTGTTAGTAAAGCGTGCCAAGTTTATAAATAAGAAACGATCAGCAAATCAAAGTGTACATGTTTTGATGTTAAATTTTGATTCTGTTAAATAAATGACCGCATTTATTCTGATGGGTCAAAGATAAAATGGCGTCTCATGTCACTGATTAAACACTCCACTCACAGTTATCTTGGTCACATGGCAGAAATTTAACTCGAATAAGAAAATAATCCATTGTAATTAAACAATTAATATTCTTTGTGCTAGAACTAGCTTTAAGAATAATTAATTAGTAGTGAAGCTAACCCTTAGCTCACTACATGGTAAATCCAAAAAAAGATTAAAAACAAAACAACTGGACTTTATTTTGTAACTGAAGATGTTTCACTTCTCATCCGAAGAGCTTTCTCAATTCAAAGAATGGAGAGTGTGGAGTTTGAGTTATAAGTTGAGGTGTTCTGTGAGCTAGATTCACATGCAGATTGCCCTCTCACTCCTCACAGTAGAGGTTGGTTTATGGTCTTTGTTAGTCTGACTCGCAGATGGGCCACTGGTCACATGAATGAAGTTCTTGATTGGAGTGAAAATGACTGGGTATCAGTCCTAAAGCTGAAATCTGCGACCTCCTCCTGTTTAAAGATGGTTTCTCTCTTTGTACATAGATAGCTTCCTTCACCTCCTTCTCAAGTTATCTGTCTTCTCGGTCCAAAATGTAAATGGTATTGTAAATGGACTGTACTTATATAGCATCTTTCTCTCTTATCAAGACACTCAAAGCACTTTACACTACCATCTGTGCCTCATTTACCCATTCATACAGCTCTATACTAGATCTCTACAAAACTAATTGAACAAATCATTCTAAAGAGACTAATCAGAGATTTATCACATTCACTGATGGGACACACATCAGAGGCTATGAGGGGTTCAGTGTCTTGCCCAGGGACACTTCAACATGTGACTGGGGGTGGATTCGGACCCTCAACTCTTGCATTGGAGGACGACTGCTCTAACCACTCAGCCACAGCCGCCCAAAATGTGAATATTTTAGTCCTCAGCAGAGTGTCCCTTATCCTTGAGGTGGAGGTGAACAGCTGAATCTTGTCCTGTGGAGCTGGCTCTCCTGTGTTGAGTCATGCGTCTGTGAAGAGGCTGTTGGGTTTCTCCAATGTAGAGGTCTGGACAGTCCTCGCTGCACTGAACTGCAGACACTACACCACTCTGTTTGTGTTTGGGTGTTTTGTCCTTAGGATGGACCAGCCTCTGTCTGAGAGTCCTGCTGGGTTTGAAATGTAATGGGATGCTAACAACAAAGTTCATGCTCAATAATCCAGCTATACAAGCCAACGTTTTTCAGTCAGGTCATCTGGACAGTTTCTTTTTTTGTGCTGAAATGAGATGGTAATGGGATGCTGTTAGGAGAAAAAAAAATCCAAGTTTCTCTGATACTCCAGCAACATAAGGGATGACAATGTTTTTCCGTCTGTTGTTCTACTTTTTCTGTTTATTAGTGTGTTTTGTAGATTTCCTCACTGACTTGACAAAAGCCCAGTTAGAATATCCACGCTTGGAGAGCTTCTTGAATGTGTTTCTGTTACTTTTCCTTCCCTTCTGTCTTCGTGGGGACGCGTTCGGCCCGATGTTGTAAAGTTCTGATGACAGAGAGTTTGTGTTCCAGTGGATGATGGGAGTCAAACAGAAGATACTGGTCTGTGTGGGTTGGTTTTCTGTAAACTTCAATGTTGAGGCTGTCCTCTCTCTCCATCTGAACCAAACAGTCCAAAAAAGGCAGCTTGTTGTCGTTTGCACCCTCTCTGGTGAACTTGATGTTGTTATCGACCGAGTTGATGTGTCTGGTGAACGCTTCTATTTCCTTGGCTTGGATTTTTGACCCAGGTATCATCCACATATCGGAATCAATGGCTTGGTGTTGTTCCCTCATAGGAGTTTAAGGCTCTCTGTTCCACTTACTCCATGTAAAGATGACCATCAATGGGTGACACTGGAGATTCCATGGCACAATCATGCTTCTGTCTGTAAAAACAGTTATTGTACTTGAAATAAGTGGTGGAAAGTAGAGTTGCATTCGGGCCTAAAAAATCAGACCTGACCCGGCCCCAGTCTGTAGCCATTTTTTCTAAACCCAACCCGATCATTTAACTGTAATTACAGGCCTGACCCCCCACCACCACCACCACCAACACCACCAAACCCCCCCCCCCCAACTTTTTAAAAATTGTTTTCTTTCTTTTGTAAGCAAATCAGATTGAGAATTTTTAAAACGGATTTCAACGAAAGGAAGATATAATATTTCTTGTTTATTAACAAGTCACCAAATGGTGAAAACAAAACAAATAACCTAACAAATTAATTCTAAAGATACGCTATTGTAGAGATGAACAAAAATATTTTTAGAGCAAAATTATTTGGAAAAATGTAGAACAAGGCTAATTAAATTAAACGCACTGATCACTTTGGCTTTTGTAGATGCTGCAGCTTCCTTCACCGCAGATTACAGCAGGGTGCGGAGACACGCGTGGCCGGTGATCATGTGATCCATCAGGAGCTTAACTGGACATTTTTTTACCTCTTTCAACCATCCAGTTGGACCTGCCTCCTCCTCAACAAGTAGATTAACACAATTTTATATTGTACATTCTTATTTAGTTTTCTTTGTGCTGTATGATTCGTAAAACCATACCAAAACCCCAAGACCGACCCGTCCCGCCCATCAAGCACATTATTTTGGCCTGACCCGACCTGAATTTTGAGTCAGGCTGGGCCGGGCTGGACCTGGGTTAGAAATCGCAGCTTTAGTGGAAAGGCAGAGGTCCAGCAGGGTGCAGATCTTGTCTGGGGTGAAGTTGGTTCTGATGTTTAAGTCCTTGTCTTGTGGAAGTCGTTTTCTGACGGTTTCTACAGCTTCAGAAATGGGTATGCGAGTGAAAAGAGAAGTCACATCATATGGTACAAGGGTTTCCAAGATGGCTGCGCTCAGAGAAGCTGCAGCTTCACTGGCTCCCGGTGAGATCACAGTTTTCAGGAGTTTTGAAATTAACTCCGAGCCTGACTCCACATGCTCTAAGCCATAGCCACATATGCACAGAGGATCCAGGGACATTTCTCCTCACAAGACCCATAGAGCATGTGGAGGGACATTAAGTACATAACAGACTATAAAGGCAGGGGTGCACAATGCCCTAGGGACCTATCACTGTCTGATGCTCTCAACAAGTTCTATGCACGCCTTGAAGACCCAAACAGACCACCCAGCACCAGACTCACCTCACCACTGGATGAGGAGTTTTTCAGCGTGACCTCAGCAGAAGTAAGAAGCACCTTCAGGAGGGTTAATCGTCACAAAGCAACAGGCCCAGACAACATCCCAGGGAAGGTACTGAAAGACTGTACCTATCAGTTCTGCGAGGTGCTGACCAACATATTTAACTCCTCCCTCACCCTGGCAACAGTTCCCACCTGCCTAAAGACTGCCACCATCATCCCAGTTCCAAAGAGCTCTACAGTGACTGGTCTGAATGAATATCGGCCAGTAGCCCTCACCCTGATAGTCGCTAAATGCTTAAAAAAAACTGGTCATGACTCACATCAAAACAACCATCAACATCAACGAGGACCCTCATCAGTATGCATACCACAAGAATCAGTCGACAGAGGATGCCAACTCCTCTGTGGTTCACACTGCTCTCACCCACCTGGAGCAGAAGGACTCCTACGTCCGTATGCTCTTTGTGGACTTCTCGTCTGCCTTCAACACCATGTTCCCCCAAACCCTGATGGACAAACTATTCACACTAGCACTAAGCCCCTCCATTTGCAACTGGGTCCTAAACTTCTTAACAAACAGACCACAATCTGTGAGGATCCACAACTTCTCCTGCTCCACCATAACCCTCATCACTGGCTCCCTCAGGGCTGTGTGCAAAGCCCTCTCCTGTTTAGTCTGCCCACGTTTGATTGTGCAGCTACCCATCTACGCTGTCATATTGTAAAGTTTGCAGATGATACAGCAGTGGTGGGATGCATCACAAACAATGATGAGTCCAGCTACAGACGGGAGGTGGAACACCTGGAGAGCTGGTGCAGGAAGAACAACCTTCACATCAATGTGAAGGAGATGGTCATGGACTTCAGACGGAACAACCCCCCCCCCCCCGAAAATAGGAGGATCTGCAGTGGAAGTGGTCTCCAGCTACAAGTACTTGGGTGTACACATGAACAACAACCTCAGCTGGAGCAACACCACCAGCCTGATCAAGAAAGCTCATCAGAGACTCTACTTCCTCAGACGGCTGAGACGAGCTGGTCTGGGAAGCTCAGTCCTCACCTCCTTCTACAGGTGTGCAGTGGAGAGCATCCTGTGCTCCAGCATCAACGTGTGGCATGGAGGCTGCACAGCTGCAGAAAGAAAAGCTTTGCAGAGAGTGGTGAAGGCTGCACAGAAGATGTTGGAGTCAACAAAGTCCATGCTCAATAATCCAGGTATACAATCCAACATTTTTCAGTCAGGTCATCTGGACAGTTTCTTTTTTTTTGTGCTGAAATGTTTCACCTTCGGTCCGGAAGGCTTCATCAGTCAAGGAAACACACAACAAAACTGATTCTTCCCCCAACAGCTTACTCCAAAGTGGAACAAACCAGTTTTGCTTGTGATAAGATGGTCTCTTTGGTACGCCCCTCCTCCATTGCCGGCCCTCTTCCTTGTTGACAGTCTTGTCAAACTGGTTGAAAACAACAAAGTCTATGCTCAATAATCCAGGTATACAATCCAACATTTTTCAGTCAGGTCATCTGGACAGTTTCTTTTTCCACTTTGGAGTAATTTGTTTGGGGGAAGAATCAGTTTTGTTGTGTGTTTCCTTGACTGATGAAGCTTTCCGGACCGAAGGCGAAACATTTCAGCACAAAAAAAAAGAAACTGTGCAGATGACCTGACTGAAAAATGTTGGGCTGTTGGAGTCAGCCTCCCCACCATCACAGACATCTACACCTCCAGATGCAGGAAGAGGCCACCTGCATCATGAAGGATCACACTCACCCAGCACACACACTATTTGCCCCGCTCCCCTCAGGCAGGAGGTTGAGGAGCATTAACTGTAGAACCACTAGACTGAGGAACAGCTTCTACCCTGAGGCTGTTAGACTCTTGAATCACTAATCAGGATTACCACTGTAAAAAAATATCACTGTAATGCCACTGTGTTTATATGGGCTGCTGAATAATTTCTTGCTGCTCTATTCATTCGTACGCGTCTGCTCACACAGACTCATGTTCGTGCTGCTGTTGTTTGGCATATTGTTTTTTACCATTAGTGCTTAGTGTATTCTTAGTTTAGTGTATTTCTTAATTCGTATCTTAGATTATTGTATTTCTTAATGCGTATTTTAGATCCTATTAATGTTTTTCTTTTACAATTTATCAAAGTTCATGCTCAATCATCCAGGTACAAAATCCAATAATGGTCAGTCAGGTCATCTGGACAGTTTCTTTTTTTGCGGAAAGACTTTTTGCCCTCTATTCAGAGGGCTTCATCAGTCTCAGGAGTCCCAAATACACTGTTTTCCCCACTAAGCAGTACACTCTTTAGTGGACCAACCAGTTTGCTGGTGATAAGATGGTTTCTGGGGGCTGTCCTGTCCCCTGTTGACTTCTCCCAGGCAGGCAGCCACATCCAGAGTGGTTCAAGACATCAAAGTTCATGCTCAGTCATCTGGGTACAAAATCCAATAATGGTCAATCAGGTCATCTGGACAGTTTCTTTTTTTCTTGAAAGACGTTTCGCCCTCTATCTGGAGGGCTTCATCAGTTTTACAATTTATACTTTTGTTGGATGTAACTGGGACCCTGTGTACACAATTTCGTTCCACCACATGTACCACATGCGATGCGAATGACAATAAACTTTGACCTTGACCTTGAACTTGGTTTCTCCTGGGACTAACTTCAAAGGTTGAACTTTGTTGGATCAATGGAGTTCTCTATGTGATGAGGTGTGTTTTCAACAAGGAAATCTGAAATACCAGCCAGATGTTTTGCAATATTATGTCACTGAGTTCCTACTGCTGACAATTCAAGAAAACACAAGCCTTGTTTTTTTTCCCCACCTTACGGAGCAAAGAGGTGGAATTGGAAATACCCTGCGTCCATCTGTTCATATTGTGAATATGATAACTTGAAAAATCAGTGAGGTACCAATTTCCATTTTGGTTTGGCTGCATCTAGGTGTAATAAAGGTCACCATTGAAAATTGGGTTGTCGCATCAAAATCCAAGATGGCCACTCACATAAATGATGTTAACTTTACGAGCTGGGTAATTTGGAGAAAAATAAAGCAACCTGCCAGCTTTTATTTTGAGGAAAGTTCAAAAAGATTTGATAGCTTTTATTGTACATGCACTTTAAACATGTTTAATTTAAACTGAAAGTCTGAGTATTCTTCTGTCATGACTGAGAGTCCACAGCTTCACACACTTGTGACTCATGCCAGGCACAGCACAATAAAGGCCTTGTCAGTAGCAGAGGCTTGCATGTGTCCAGAGCGGGAACAACCAAGTCAGCAGCATTGCATCAAACCTTGATGAATGAGCCGGTCAGCAGGAGACGGGCACTAAATCTGACAGAAGCTTTATGAAACAAAGTGTCAGGATGTGAGTTGGACTATTCTGAGCTGAATGCTGCCCTCCTGTGTTCATCCCCACTAACAGATGTTCTGTTTCCTCCACAGGATGAAGAGAATGGTAATTTGTCTGGAAAAGGTGAGCGATTCATGTTCTTCATCCTCACCTGGTTGAAAATAGAATAAAATCATCATCAGACATGAGAATATATGACATCATAGAGTATCCATCCATCCATTATCTTTTACCCGCTTCTTCCATTTTGAGTCACGGGGGTCGCCGGTGCCCATGTCCGGCAATCACTGTGCGAGGGGCGGGGGACACCCTGGACAGGTCTCCAGCTCATCACAAGGACACATAGAGACAAAGGAGACAAACAACCATTCACTCTCTCACTCACACCTAGGGACAATTTAGAGTTACCAATCAGCCTAACATGCATGTTTTTGGTCTGTGGGAGGAAACTGGAGCACCTGGAGAAAACCCACGCATGCACGGAGAGAACATGCAAACTCCACCCAGAAAGGCCCCTGGACCGGGCTTTGAACCAGGGACCTGCTCGCTGAGAGGCAGCAGCTCTACCAGTTGCGCCACCATGTGCCCCATCATAGATTATTTCTGTTTATTTTACCAAAACATAATTAGAATGCTAAAACATGCATGTTAAGTAAATTAATAACTTTAATTGTTCTCTAGGTGTGAGTGAGAGAGTGAATGGTTGGTTGTCTTGTTTGTCTCTATGTGTCTCTGTGATGGACTGGAGACCCCTCCATATATGAGTGGACAGCCTAAACACAACCTTTTGAAAACTATGATGTCATAACCCCATGTCTTATCTAACATATGACCCAACAACGTTACCATATTTTCCGGCCTATAAGTTGCAGTTTTTTTTTTTTTTGCATGATTTACATGTCCTGCCACTTATACACCGAAGTGACTTATTTATTCTTCCCCCCCATATTTATAAACCAATTTTTGGCTGAGATATGACCGTTTTCATTCATTCTGACATTGAAAATATTGAACACTACCATTTTCAGCTGCTAGGTGGCACTCGGGTAGTATGACATGTCGTTGTGTCATGTAATAGGAAGGGATGGGGCCGATCCAGTATCGGTATAGTATCGGTATTGGCCTTCGATACCAGCATAATTTACGCATCAGATTTTTCTGATCCAACCTGCAGAGATTTCTGATCCATGATGCATGTCTGTGTCTGTTGAAACATCTCCACATGTGATTCCCTGCCAGCTGCTCTGCAGGTTGGCTTCAAATGGATTTCCTGAACTGAGGCGTGTCTCATGAACCCAGAGTAATAAGACCCGCCTCACATTCAGGAAATCCAGTTCATAGTGTGCAGGCAGCTAAAATGTGAGTAAATATGTGGACTGAGAGCAGCACTGTTGCTAATGGCTAACCAACCTTTCATCGTAACATGTCCGCTGTGTGGAAGTATTTTACACTAAACACTGCAATCAGCAACGTGCACTGTCTGGAGAGCCGCTGGACCGAGAGGACGAAGCTCGGTCATGACCAACAATACATCAAACTTAATAAACATCTGAAAATGCACCACATTAAAGAGCACAAGGATTGTTTAGCCAAGCACTGCCGTAAAGTTATTTTTACGTTGGACGTTGGAGCTCTGTGGCTTCAGCAGTGTGTTCCTCTCGTTCAGTCCGGAGCAGACAGTCTGATTTCAGTCAGCTGCGCTCAGTCTGCTCATCTCGGAGGAGCAGGCTGAGCGCAGCTGACTGAAATCAGACTGTCTGCTTCACAGCTTGATTGAATATAGTAAAGACATAATTTACCCTTCAAGAAATATTAATCAGTACAACAGTAGATAATCATAAAAAACATAGGAATTGAAAAATAAAAGGAAATTATATTAAAAAAGAAACAAAAACAGCTACATTATAAAGCGATATAAAATACTAAAAATAGGAACATGTCTGTGTTGAAAATATCCTGCTGCATGCTCAATAATCCAGGTAGAAAAATCTAAAAAAGTTCAATCTGGTCCTCTGGACATTCAAAAAACAAAACAAAGCAAATCAACAAAAAAATGTAGAAACGTTTCGTCTCTCATCCGAGAGACTTCTTCAGTCTGAGGTGCTGTATTCAGCTCAGTCTCTTAAATAGCACCTTCTCAGAGTGGATCAACCAGTTTGTTGCTGACAACCAGAACCAGCTGATCACATGGTCAAGAAGGACCATCAGCCTAACAATGGATCATTAGCACCTGATGGCTGTTTACTGTTCACAGAGGGCTGAGTGATACTAGCAATCACAGCATTGTAAGAGGGGGACAGTTGAACATGGAGGCTCCACCCCTGTTTAATGATGGACGATTTCTTTTCACAAAGATGGCCTCCTTTACTCCTCTCTCAAACCATCGTTCCTCTCTGTCCAGGATGTGAACATCTTCATCCTTGAAAGAGTGACCGCTGGCCTGGAGATGAGTGTAGACCTCAGAGTCCTGGCCTGATGATGTTGATCTTCTGTGCTGGTCCATCCTTTTGGCCAGTGGCTGTTTAGTTTCCCCGATGTAAGACTGATCACCCTCCTGACACTGAACAACATACACAACATTACTCTGTTTGTGCCGGGGGACTGGATCTTTGGGATGAACCAGTCTTTAATGTATTTTGGGGTTTAAAAGCCACTGGGACGTTATGTTTAGAAAATAAACGTCTCAGTTTCTCTGATACTCCCTCAACATATGGAATGACCACTGGTCTGGGTCTGGGTTCCTCCTTTTCACCTGATGGCTGACTGGAGTCCTGTTTGGGTTTCTTCTCTGCTTTCAGGAAGGCCCAGTTAGGATATCCACATTGCTCTAGAGCCTGTCTTGTGTGGGATTTCTCCTTCTGCCTGGCTCCTGAGCTAGTGGGGACGCTGTCTGCTCTGTGATACAGAGTCCTGATGACTGATGACCCTTAGGAGCACAAGTTAGGAGTCACAAGACAAACCTGACACTTCTTTCAAGAGGAATGGATGAAATTCCAGCAAACTGATGTGAGAAGTTTATGAAAAGAAACCTTTTTTTCCCTTCTTGCTCTCGACGAAGGCAGACGCTTTTCCCTCCTGCTCCTTCCCCGCTCTGCTCTTTGTCCTGTGAACCTTTTATGTTGCTTTTTTTGTGCTGGGTTTTTTGTAGCCTCACGCTGTGTCCAGTTAGGGACATAGTGCGAGATATATATATATATATTTAACTCCTCTTCCCTCGTGTTCTTTTTTCTCTAATCTAAGAAAAGACTGCCACCATCATTCCAGTCCCAAAAAGCTCTACAGTGACTGGTCTGAATGACTATCGGCCAGTGGCCCTCACCCCGATAGTCGCTAAATGCTTAAAAAAACTGGTCATGACCCACTTCAAAATAAACATCAACGAGGACCCTCATCAGTATGCATACAGTGAGAACCGATCAACAGAGGATGCCATCTCCTCTGTGGTCCACACTGCGCTCACCCACCTGGAGCAGAAAACTCTTACGTCCGTATGCTCTTTGTGGACTTCACATCCGCCTTCAACACCATGATCCCCCAAACCCTGATGGACAAACTATTCACACTAGGACTAAGCCCCTCCATTTGCAACTGGGTCCTAGACTTCTTAACAAACAGACCACAGTTAGTGAGGATCCACTACTTTTCCTCCTCCACCATAACCCTCAGCACTGGCTCTCCTCAGGGATGTGTGTTGAGCCCCCTCCTGTTTACTCTGCTCACGTGTGACTGTGCAGCTACCCATCCAGGCTGTCACATTGTAAAGTTTGCAGATGATACAGCGGTGGTGGGATGCATCACAAACAATGATGAGTCCAGCTACAGGCAAGAGGTGGAACACCTGGAGAGCTGCTGCAGGAAGTACAACCTTCACATCAATGTGAAGAACATGAAGGAGATGATTGTGGACTTCAGAAGGAACAAAAACATCTACACCCCCCCTGAACATAAGAGGATCTGCGGTGGAAGTGGTCTCCAGCTACAAGTACTTGGGTGTACACATGAATGACAACCTCAGCTGGAGCAACAACACCACCAGCCTGATCAAGAAAGCTCATCAGAGACTCTACTTCCTCAGACGGCTGAGGCGAGCTGGTCTGGAAGCTCAGTCCTCACCTCCTTCTACAGGTGTGCAGTGGAGAGCATCCTGTGCTCCAGCATCAACGTGTGGCATGGAGGCTGCACAGCTGCAGAAAGAAAAGCTTTGCAGAGAGTGGTGAAGGCTGCACAGAAGATGTTAAATGGTAAATGGACTGTAATTATATAGCGACTTTTTATCTTATTTCGATACTCAAAGCGCTTTACACTACAATCTGTGTCCTCATTTACCCATTCTCACAGCACTCTACTAGATCTCTACAAAGCTAATTGAACAAATCATTCTAAAGAGACTAATCAGTGCTTTTAGATCACATTCATACACTAATGGGACACACATCAGAGGCTATGAGGGGTTCAGTGTCTTGCCCAGGTTCACTTCAGCATGTGACTGCTGGTGGATTCAAACCCTCAACTCTCGCATTGGAGGACGCAGCTGCTCCATGTTGGAGTCAGCCTCCCCACCATCACAGACATCTACACCTCCAGATGCAAGAAGAGGGCCACCTGCATCAGCCCTGAGGTTGTTAGACTCATGAACCTCTAACCAGAATAATCACTGTGATTTATTGTCAGACAGTGAGGAGATAATGGTTCTGCATTTTCATATAGGGGATGAAAACATTAGGTTACAACTTGCCTTAAATATAGCAGAATAAAACGTCAAGTCAAGTCAAATTGATTTGTATAGCGCATTTAAAACAGGAACTGTTAAGTGCATAAAAAGCCCTAATTACACCAAAATATTTTAAGGTAAAAATGTTTTTATCACTTTAATTTTTAACGGTTTTTTTTTTAAGTCCAACGTTGCAGAAATAGAATAAAACACATGTCAAGTATACATACGTATAAAAAAATGTATCAGCCTTTTGTTTATTCCTGGGCTTTTTCTTGTTTGATTTAAAGTTTGTGTGTTTGTGTTTCTGGTGTTTTGTCTTGGCAATGTTGCAGCGCCACACACAGGCCTGGCATAATTACTGCAGCTATTTGGTTGTTTAGATTGTTTTCTGCTTTTCCATGTGGACTAAAACATTGTTTGGAACATTTTTTACAAGGATTATTTTTAGAAACAACATAAGAGGTTGTTTTAGAGGAACAGTGTCACCATGTGGACATGGCCTTAATCAGGGTGCACTTTTTAAATTCAGCTGGCGTGTGTTGTTTTTTTATTGAACCTACTGCAGCTTTGTGTTATGAGCTTTGCAATTGTGACTTTCTGTGTGTCTAAACAGGTTGTCAACGATCTCACTTAGAACCAATGGACACCATTTTTGTGAAGAGTGTGAAAGAAAACGGCCCTGCTCACCAAGCTGGACTGTGCACAGGTAAGCATAATAAATAAACAAACAAACAAACAATGGGTAGAATAGGTACAACATGAAGAGCCAGACAAGAAGAAAATGTTCATGAGCTCATCTGCTTCTGGTAGTATCTCCCTGGGTTGGAAGTGTTGTAGATTAGTGGGTGAGTAAAACATATTAGGGTTGTGAAAGATTTTAACGGATACGACCGAATATCCTGTTTGATAAGCTATCGACACGGCTGCATCGGTAGCAGCCGTATTCATTCAACCTTTATTTAGACAGGTTAATCCCATTGAGCCTCGTGGACTCATTTACAAGAGACCTGATTTCAACAAAGAAAGATGACAACAATGGACAAATAGTATAAACAGTGGTGGGATGTAACAAAGTACAAGTACTTCGTTACTGTACTTAAGTACATTTTTCATGTATCTGTACTTTACTTAAGTAGAGTTAAATGTGGGTACTTTCAACTTTTACTCCACATTTTACATTAAGTATCGGTACTTTCTACTACACTACATTTCTATAATGCGTTACACGCTACATTGTTCACTATTGACCCATTACAAAGTTGACTAGACAGTATTTTAACTAGAGCTGATGACAAACCGGAGTTGAAATTATCAGAGCCTGTTCCTTCGTCAGGTCTAATGCTTTTTTTTTTTCAGGCAGACAACTTTTACTTAAATGTGTTTACTGCAGTTAAAATTATACATTGGTTTTACTTTGTGTTAAATAAAAACTTTCAAAGGTAAAATCGTTCCTCTTTCTTATTTTGATTAATGGCATTTAACTCTGCATGTCATCCCTGAAATTCTGACGCACAGAATCACAAGTCCAGGTGTGAACTGTGTCACAGAGTAAACACAATAAAAACATGTATTATCTGCAGCATTGTTCATTAAAATGACACAACACTATTAATGTACTACAGAAAATAATACACATACTGTAGGCACACTTAATGATATGTAGACCATTGCATTAGGTAATACATTCAGCAAGTACTAATACTTTTAATAGTATTTTTAAAAGCAAGTACTTATTTACTTTTACTTAAGTAAAAAATATAAATGTGGTACTTTTACTAGAGTACATTTTGTCTGTTTATTTGTACTTTTACTTAAGTACATTGTTTGAGTACTTTCTCCACCACTGCGTATAAATGGATAGCAGCCATGGACCGGGTGTCGCGAGACTAGCCATTGGTTGACAGTGCGCCTCTAAAATAATGCAAGAGCCGGAAATGCCCGCAAAGCTATTCTTGCGCCTGCGCCGTAGCTCACCAAGACCGAAGACGAGAATGGATGTAAATAGTAGCAGCGCTAGCGAGTCACCGCGGAAGATTTTCAATACAGCAGCCAGACAAAAATCTCAAGTGTGGAACGTTTTCGGATTGTACAAGATAGACGGAAAACTCGACAAAAGCCATGCTATTTGTAAGCTATGCAGAGCATCTCTGAAGTCACATGCCGAAGCGTCCCTGGGCAAGATACTGAACCCCTTTTGTCCTCCGATGTGTGTCCCATCAGTGTATGAATGTGATAAATCACTAATTAGTCTCTTTAGAATGATTTGTTCAATTAGCTTTGAAGAGATCTAAGAGAGTGCTGTATGAATGGGTAAATGAGACCCAGATTGTAGTGTAAAGTGCTTTGAGTATCTCAATAAGATAGAAAGGCACTATATTAGTACAGTCCATTTACACTAGTAGCACAACAAACCTTGACCAACATGCAACGAGAAAACACAGAGAGGAGTGTGGCAAACTTCTCAAGCCCAATAACAACGAGCAGGAGCAGACAGCTGCCACACAGAGGCCGGCGGGTAACGTCATCACTAAATTTTATGGGCAACTCGGCCACAATTCATCACGAGCTAAGGATATAACGGCGTCAATAACGTGTTTTATCGCTAAGGGCTTATGTCCGTACAATATACAGGTCCTTCTAAAAAAATTAGCATATTGTGATAAAGGTCATTATTTTCCATAATGTAAAGATAAAAATGAAACTTTCATATATTTCAGATTCATTGCACACCAACTATAATATTTCAGGTCTTTAATTGTTTTAATACTGATGATTATGGCATACAGCTCATGAAAACCCAAAATGCCTGTCCCAAAAAATTAGCATATCATGAAAAGGTTCTCTAAACAAGCTATTAACCTAACCATCTGGATCAACGACGTAACTCAAAACACCCGCAAAAGATTCCTGAGGCTTTTAAAAACTCCCAGCCTTGTTCATTACTCAAAACCACAATCATGGGTAAGACTGCCGACCTGACTGATGTCCAGAAGGCCATCATTGACACCCTCAAGCAAGAGGGTAAGACACAGAAAGAAATTGCTGAACGAATAGGCTGTTCCCAGAGTGCTGTATCAAGGCACCTCAGTGGGAAGTCTGTGGGAAGGGAAAAGTGTGGCAGAAAACGCTGCACAACGAGAAGAGGTGACCGGACCCTGAGGAGGATTGTGGAGAAGGGCCGATTCCAGACCTTGGGGGACCTGCGGAAGCAGTGGACTGAGTCTGGAGTAGAAACATCCAGAGCCACCGTGCACAGGCGTGTGCAGGAAATGGGCTACAGGTGCCGCATTCCCCAGGTCAAGCCACTTTTGAACCAGAAACAGCGGCAGAAGCGCCTGACCTGGGCTACAGAGAAGCAGCACTGGACTGTTGCTCATTGGTCCAAAGTACTTTTTTCGGATAAAAGCAAATTTTGCATGTCCTTCGAAAATCAAGGTGCCAGAGTCTGGAGGAAGACTGGGGAGAAGGAAATGCCAAAATGCCAGAAGTCCAGTGTGAAGCACCCACAGTCAGTGATGGTCTGGGGTGTCATGTCAGCTGCTGGTGTTGGTCTACTGTGTTTTATCAAGGGCAGGGTCAATGCAGCTAGCTATCAGGAGATTTTGGAGCACTTCATGCTTCCATCTGCTGAAAAGCTTTATGGAGATGAAGATTTCATTTTTCAGCACGACCTGGCACCTGCTCACAGTGCCAAAACCACTGGTAAATGGTTTACTGACCATGGTATTACTGTGCTCAATTGGCCTGCCAACTCTCCTGACCTGAACCCCATAGAGAACCTGTGGGATATTGTGAAGAGAAAGTTGAGAGATACAAGACCCAACACTCTGGATGAGCTTAAGGCCGCTATCGAAGCATCCTGGGCCTCCATAACACCTCAGCAGTGCCACAGGCTGATTGCCTCCATGCCACGCCGCATTGAAGCAGTCATTCATGCAAAAGGATTCCCGACCAAGTATTGAGTGCATAACTGAACATGATTATTTGAAGGTTGGCGTTTTTTGTATTAAAAACACTTGTCTTTCATTGGTGGGATGAAATATGCTAATTTTTTGGGACAGGCATTTTGGGTTTTCATGAGCTGTATGCCATAATCATCAGTATTAAAACAATTAAAGACATGAAATATTTCAGTTGGTGTGCAATGAATCTGAAATATATGAAAGTTTCATTTTTATCATTACATTATGGAAAATAATGACCTTTATCACAATATGATAATTTTTTGAGAAGGACCTATAGTAGAGGGGGAAGGATTTTAGGATTTGATTCATTCGTTAGAGCCCAGATATAAGATTCCATCTCGGCAGCATATCACAAACACATGCATGCCAGCATTGTATGCCCAAGTGAAGAGCCAAGTTGAAAAAGAATTGGCACATGCAGAGTGAGTTGCTATTACAACCGGTGCCTGGATGTCATGATCCACTGAGTCTTAGGTCGTTTTCACACCAAATAGTCCGGTAGACTCGGTTCGGTTCGGGACCAATATTCATGAGCTTTTGTTAATTTGAAATGGTACATTTGCATTCACACTGCACTGTGCAGTCGAGTCAACCTGTTGAACCAACCTGTTCCCCCGCTCGCCTGTGGGGGTGCTGCACCAAGAACTACTGAAAGAAACAACACAAAAACCTCTGAACACACGTCTTCTTCTTCTTCTGTAAATAAAAATAAAAACGAAGTGGCATCAAGTTTTAGCAGTTTTAGGAGTTCTATTTTGTCATTTTTCAAAAATGGACTTATCATGAGCAGAAGATGAGACAGAAGACCATGGAGAATATTGTTTTTCACACAAGACAGCTGACGGCTCCATATAAGGTCAGAGAAGTGCGTGTTTGTTTACCCTGTGGAGCGGGGCCCGGTCTGTTTACATTCGCACTGTACTCGAACTGCGCTGGAGTTCTTTTCTACTGGACCGAGACCTAGGTTTTAGTCCGGGCCAGAGTTCGCCTTTTTGTTCCGTGACAGAGTTCGATGGCGTGTTCACACCTCCCTAAACGAACCGGACTTTCTAGGAAAATGAGCTAGAGTTCGATTAAAGCGAACTAAACAGGGCTGGTGTGAATGTACCCTTATGTGACCATCACTGTCCACTACATCTCTCCAGACTGGAAGTTAAATGTGCATGTGTTGCAAACCAGGGTATTCAAAGGATCCCACACTGGGAAAAATATTGGTGCTCTGCTAAAACAGGCATGTGTTGACTGGAACCTTCTTGATAAAGATCCAGCCCTGGTGACAGACAATGCCACAAACATGGTACTAGCTGGAGTGGAAGCAGAGATGACTCCTCACCTCATGTGCTTTGCACACACTATTAATCTCGCCACACAGAAAGCCTTTAAAGTTGACACAGTAGCGAGGTTGCTGGGGAGAGTGAGGAAAGACGTTGCCTTTTTTCATCGTAGTGTGAGGGCAGCAGAAATCCTTCAAGAGAAACAGAAACAACTAGCCTTGCCTTCCCACAAACTCATCCAAGATGTATCCACACGGTGGAATAGCTCCCATGACATGCTTGAACGCTTTTTTGAGCAACATCCTGCGATTTCTGCAGCACTCATGTCCAGGGACCTCAGAAAAGGAGAAGAGGTGAATACTTTCAAGGACAAAGACTTCTGCGACATTGAAGACATTGTCAAACTGATGGCGCCGGTCAAACTTGTGACTACCAGCATGTCTGAAGACAAGCGACCCACACTCTCA